GTATTTTTCCCAAAGAGATTACATATTCTCTTAAACTGTGATTATCTGTCACATGCTTCTCTCCAGGAATAGTTACAGTTTGATATGGTCTCCTGTGGTGGGGAAAAAGTGTTTTCCCCGTGGAGTTAAAAAATGGTAACCCCCAAGGGGGTGGTGTCACTTGATGTTAACCCAATCAGTGCCCCTGCAAAATTTAAACATATCACACCAGACTGGAAAAGAAGGATGATGATGTAGTTGGAAGAGAAGTGGCCATATTCTGAGACCACAAAGAGAGAGAGAGAGAGAGAGAGAGAGAGAGAGAGAGAGAGAGAGAGAGAGGACTAAGCTCAACAAAGACAGTTTTGGGGTAAGACTGAATTGAATCTCCCCAAAATCCCTTTGAGACCCCTCCTGGGAGTAGGGGGTGGACTCCTACTTGATGGAAGTCCTAAAATGCAGCATGCGACAGAGAGAGGAGCTGAAAAGCTCATAGACATCCTGGAAGCTGGACTGGAACGGCCAGACGGAATGTGGAGGAGGTGGCCTTGCCCCTCTGCTGCTGCCAGGCTGGCAGTTTTGAGACAGAGCAAAGGAGCTATGATAGGACGTTTAGGGCAAAGACTGAACTGAAAGCTACCCTAAACGTTGTGACTCAGGGGGAGCTTAAATCCCCTGAGGAAGGGACTTTCACAAAGATACCCCTGCACTTCATGATATGATGTGATGAGGTGAGCCTTGTCCTGGCTATCGCAGTCCATGGGAGAGAGACCCTTGATTGGACCCAAAGGGCCAAGAGGGGTGAGAGAAGACCCCCTTGTGTGTAATGGAGAGAGAGATCCAGCTACAATCTAGCTACGACTGCTGCATTGAAGAGGAGAGACACTGCTGCCCTGAAAGTGGAAAGGATCTTTCCTTCTTCCCTTCTGGACTTTTATTGGAGGGAAAAGAGATTTGATCCAATGTAAATACTGCTTTATCATAGGAGAGATACTTAAGATTATGTATATAATGTATTATAATATTTATTTGTGTAATAATTGTAATATAATTCCCTTCCCCCCATATTGAGTCTTGTGTTGTGTCTGGAAAACCCCTCTCACACTGGGGTGAGTTGTGGGAGGGGGGCTTGGACTTGGGAGTTGGATTTTTGGGGGGTCTCAAATCACAACATCTCCCATAAAAGATTTCACATGGGCTTACCTTTTCCTTGCAGCTTGACTGGATTCTAGTTTTTAACAATGCCAGAGGAAGAGCATGTGTCCATTTAAGTGAAGTTTCTTGACAGATTTTGTGTATTTGCCTTTTTAGGCTTTGGTTCATTCTCTTAACCTCCCAATTAAATTGTAGTCTCCTAGGAGTACACAAATCCTATTTGATTCCTAATATTTTAGATAATTTTTGCACAAATTCTGCTACAAACTGAGGTCCCCTTCCTGAGGACATTCACAATGGAATTCCAAGTCAGGGGATTATTTCTTCTAACTATACCTTTGTAATTTCCCTTGCTTTGTTGGTGTGACAGGGTAAAGCTTCAATTTGTCATTTTTCCATCCTTTAAAATTCAAGATAGGTAAACAGTGGTTAACACATCAATTCCTACATATGCCTGAATGCTCAATGCCTTTGTTAGGAAAGAGAGAATATTTGAAAATAAACAAATACAAGTATGTAATTTCTGATAGTGAGATCCTGGAGGTCAAGGGTTTTATGTTGTTACAGCAACCAAACATTACAGAGGAAATCCCAGAGGAGGTGGAAAAAGCTGTGTCACGGTTTGAGATAGCCCAAAATCCAATTCCCTAGTCCTAGCCCCCTCCCCCATCTCAACCTAATGTGTGATGGGCTTTCCAGACAAAACACGCCAGACTCAGAGTAGGGGAAAGGGAATATATTACAATGACTGTACAAATAAATATTATAACACATTATACACACGATCACAACTATCTCTACCATGACATATAGTATTTACAATGGATCAGATCTCTTCTCCCCTCCAAATAAAAGTCCAGGAGGGAAAGAAGGACAGATCCCTTCTTTGGAGGAGCAGGATCTTCTACAGCAGCAGTCGTCTGTCCTCTCCACATGCATGCAGCAGCTGATAGCTGGATTTCTGTCAGCACTCATGAGGGAGGCCTCCAAGCTCCCTCGGCCCCTTGATGCAGGTAAAGGGGTCTTCCATGGGCTATGTCACCCCAGACAAGGTCGTTTCACCACGGTCATATCACGAAGACACAGGGGGTCTTCGTGATGGTCTGGTATCTCCAGGAGATTCAAGCTCCTTGCAGGGCCTCTGTGCCCTGCTTTCAGGCTGCCACCTTGGCAGCAGTGGCGAGGGGGGAGCCAAGGTCACCCCCTCTGCATTCCTCTCAGAGCTCTCTAGCTCCTTTCTGCAGTGCATGTTGCACTTCAAGGCTCTTTCAAGCAAGAGTCCATCATCTTCCTCCTTCCAGGAGGTCTCAAAGGAGTTTGGGGGGGTGTGGTATCAGTTCTTACCCCCAAAACTCTGTCTCTCTGCTGCTCTCTCTCTCTCTCTCTCTCTCTCGCTCCCTCTCTCTCTCTCTCTCTCTCTCTCTCTCTCTCTCTCTCTCTCTCTCTCTCTCTCTCTCTCTCTCTCTCTCTCTCTCTTTCCAGGAGTTCCCTCCTGCTTGGCTGTAATGCCTTTGCTGCTTCGTCTTATCTGTCCTGGCTCTTAGCCAGAATCTCCGGACGCTGCATCTGCCGCTGCTGTCTCTGCTTTCTGCTCTGTCTCCGCTGCCCAGGATGGAGAGAAACATCTCCCAGCTTAACCACAAACACTTAGTCCAGTCTAACACTGTTCCAAGTCTCTGCAGTCCCCCCCCAGCCAGGGGCTGGGAGGCCCCAAAGGCCCTGAGGGGCTCAGAGCCCCTTCCTCGTGGCTCTACAACATGGTCACCTCTCCTCCCAACAACCAAAACTACAACTCATCTCTTCCGGTGCTTGTGATATGTTTACATTTTTGCAGGAGCGCCCATTGGGCCAAACTTCAAAACTTCCAGGGGTTTCCACCCCTTGGGGTCTACCACTTTTCTTAGCCTCTGGTGGAAAACAAGATTCAAACCACTACAAGCTGTTACTCTGTTGGTGGAACTCCAGGGTAATCAAGGGCAGCAAAAGCAGTAAGAATACCATTGAAACCAGACTCCAAACTGGTAAGGCAAAACTAATATCCTTTAGAATGAAAAGCTAGGTAAGCGTTAGAGGAATTAATTACTAAACTTGTGCAACATGGATTACTAAAGGAATGTGAATCAGAATAAAATACTCCTATCGATAAAGAACACACCCAGTGGTAGCAAATCATTATACACTTTTAACTACAATTAAGGATTCTGATTAGTGGTTTACTGTTTTGGACCTTAAGGATGCTTTCTTCTGCATACTCCTTGAAACTGAAAGTCAATCCTTGCTTGCTTTTGAACAGGAAGGTCCCCCAACAGGCTGTAAAACCCAATTAACATGAACTATTCTCCCACAAGGGTTCAAAAATAGCCCCACTTTGGGAACCAAGTGGCAAAAGAATTGGAAATATGGAAAAAGGAAAGTGAAGAAATCACATTGCTGCAGAATGTAGTTGATAGCTACAGAAACTCAAACTGGATACATTGAAATGACTATTAGTTTACTAAACTCTCTCGGACAAACTGGTTACAGGGTATCCAATAAGAAGGCCCAAATTGGCAGAAAGGAGGTTACATATCTGAGATTCACCATTTTTAAGGGATTCAAAGCCTCAGAATTGAAATGAAGGAGACGATTCATCAAACTCCAGAGCCAAGGTCTGTATTTGAATTAGGGACGTTTTTAGGAATAATTGATTGATATCAGCTATGGATTCCTAATTATGGACTGTTGGTAAGACCTTTATATGAGACCCTGAGAAACCCTGAGGAGATACTACGGTGGACTCCAGAATACCAGACAGCTTTCAGAGACTTGGAGAGAGCTCTAATGTCAGCCCTGCTTTGGGATTACCTGACCTGACAAAACCTTCCATGCTGTTTGTGCATGAATGCTCACACCTTGCATTAGGTGTGCTGGTTCAGAGGTTAGGGGCATGGAGAAGGGCTGTGGCGTGCTTTTCCAAACAACTGGTCACTGGTTATTCCCAAATCAAAGTCACAAATATCAAATTGTCCTGTTGGAACAGGACGATGCAGAACTGAAAACAACCACTGCCTTGAACCCAGATATGTTCCTCGAATCTGTGCCAGAATGCCAAGAGACTCACAACATGACTGTCTTCTAACTGTTGAGCAGGTTTACTCCTACAGGGAAGATTTAAGGGACATTCCAGTAGAAGATCCAGGTTGGGAACTGTTCACAGATGGGAGCGGTTTTATGTGCAGAGCAGAAATCTGGGTGTGCAGTAGTGACCCAAATCAAGGCAATCAAAGCTGATCCGTTACCTGTTCACATCTCTGCACAAAAGGCTAAATTCATTGCTCTGCAGCAAGCTCTAGAATTGTCTGCAGGTAAGAAGGTCAACATATGGACTGATTCCAACTATGTTTTCGGAGTGGTACATACCCATGGGGCTATCTGGAAAGAAAGAGGGCTCCTTTCAGCACAAGGAACTCCTGTCAAGTATGAAGATGTCATTAAACAATTACTGGCAAATGTTCAGTTACCAATCAGAGTGGCTCTCATGCATTGTAAAGCTCATCAATTTGGAAACACACTAACTAATGTTGGAAATCAATTAGCAGATATGACTGCTAGAGAGGTAGCAGAGAAAAGCATCCTAGTAGTTACTCTGTCACTATGAGTACCCTCCTCTCTGACTAAGCACTGCCTTTGGAGTCACTCTTTCCCACTGTGCCCAAATTGACTTCCCACAGTAGACCCATTTTGCAGGTGCTGGGCATGGAACCCCTTTTTCCTTACATGATCTTTAAGGTCCCTTCCAACCCAAACCATTCTATGGTTCTATAAGACTGTGTTACCCCTCCCCCATCCCCTGAGGGCTCCATGCTCAGAACCTGGAAGAACACTTTGTGACATCAGCCCTGAGGCTGCAGGTGCCATGGGCAACATGAGTGCTGTGGGCACTTGGGTCAGTGGTGACACTGGAGGAGACAACCTTTTGTTTCTTTCAGTTGACACATGCCACTGGCAGTGATGAATTTGCTGTACCTCCTCATCCTGCTGGCCATATTCAGGCCTGCACATGGCACCTGGGACACCTGTGGGTAAGTGGCCCCAGACTCTGGGAGGGAGCTTGGGCAACCCTTAGGTGGTTCCCTGGAGGGGGCCCACTTGTCCCACATCACCACATCACAACTTCCCAAACCCCATGTGGGAGCCTCAGTTTTTTGCCAGCGCCCAGGTGCTGGGGCAGAAAGACATAGCCTGAGCAGCATCAGCAGTCAAGTAGGGCAGTAATGACTTTCTGCTTACAGAGACACCTGTGGGCTCCGGCCCATGGCTTCTGACTATGGCGTGCCACATATTGTGGGTGGCACAGGTGCCCAGCCAGGGGCCTGGCCCTGGATTGTCAGCATCCAGGATCCCAGGAAAATAGGCACTGGTCATACATGTGGAGGGTCCCTCATCAGCCCACAGTGGGTCCTCACGGCAGCCAACTGCTTCATCCAGGCCAGGTAAGGAGGAGCAGAGAACGGGGATATCCCCACAGTACAAGCAGGTGCCTAGTCCACAGCACCACATACTACTCCCATCCTGTTTCCTTGCAGTGAGCCCAGTGCCTGTGCAGTAGAGAGCTCAGCTGAGAAACTGCTCAGGAGAAGGCTGGGCTCATGCCACTGCTGCCTAGCAGCCTCCGGCTTGACATTCCTGGAGCCTAAGGCATCTAAGGCAGTCACACCTTCAGTTGCACTGCTTTCCTCTCTGCATTGGGAAGCAGAAGGCAGGGAAGTGCTGAGTTGATGCAGCGCATGGCTCTGCTTCCTCTCACCCCTCTCTCTCTGCCTTCCAGGAACATCACCATGTGGCGCGTGCTGATCGGGGCCACCCAGTTGACTCAGCTGGGCCCTGAGGCCCAGCTGCGCCATATCAAGCGGCTCCTGGTTCACCAACACTACGCTGCTTCTTCGCAGCAGAATGATATTGCCTTGGTGGAATTGGACCAGCCTGTGGAGTGCAGTGACTACATCCAGCTTGCCTGTGTGCCCAACGCCTCTCTTACAGTGTCAGAGCTGAAAACTTGCTACATTGCTGGTTGGAGTTCCACCAGTACAAAAGGTGAGTTCCCAAAAAGGACTCATGCCCTGAGGGCAAGCTGGGCACACTGGGGAGACAAGTTGTGCTTCCCAACAGCAGAGGCCAAAGCCAGAGTCAGGCTGCAGGATGTACGTTTCTGGAGAGATGGGCCTGGCCTGCCACCCAAAGCCAGACAGAAGGGACACAGCACTTTGATGGCTGCTCCAGAGGCAAAGAAAAGCCCTAGGGAAGGGCTTCACCTTCAGACAGAGGAAAAGAACTGGCAGCGAGCTGCTGAGTGGTCATTCCTTTCTGTGCTTACAGCTCAGGGATCAGGTGATGTCCTGCAGGAGGCCAAGGTCCGTCTCCTTGATACCCAGCTTGTTAACAGCAGCCGATGGTATGCTGGGACCATCCACACCCACAACCTATGTGCTGGCTACCCACAGGGCGGCATCGACACCTGTCAGGTAGGACTATACTACGAGTCAGCCAGCCCCCAGCAGCAGACAGCCCCATCACCACTGCCCGAACAGTACCCAGCATGTGCTCTTCCTAGCAAGTCACTTTCCCACCACTGATGAGGCTTCCCTCCCCTTCCCCATATCTACAGGTCCTTGCCTAGTGTCCATGTCCCTGAGGCCTGCCACTATGCCCAGAAAGCCCATGCAGTGCTTTTGGCAGCCCAGATATCCAGATGCTGGATCATCCATCCTCCATGCATCCAGGATCACTGCAGATATGAGAGAGGGCCTTACCTTACAGCCCCCCAGCCTGTTCCCACCTAAGGTTCTGAAGACTCTGAGCAGAGCCCTTCTGTGCCAGGAATACAGCTGTGGCAGGGGCTGCAAGAGAGAAGCAAGCCCCTAGTGCTGACAACAGCCACCCAACATCACCTTAATCCTCTCTTTGCTGCAGGGTGACAGCGGAGGTCCTCTGGTGTGCAAAGATAACAGTGCCAACTACTTCTGGCTTGTTGGAGTGACCAGCTGGGGAAAAGGCTGTGCCAGAGCAAAACGGCCAGGAGTCTACACCTCCACTCAGCACTTCTACGACTGGATCCTGGTCCAGATGGGCCTGTGCTCAACTGTAACAGCCACTCCAACACCAGAGGCAGCCATCAGCTCAACCCCTTTTCAGCGGCCAAGGCCAATACCAACACAATCAGGCTGCTTTACGCCCACTCCACATCCACAAACACCTGTAACAGCCACTCCAACACCAGAGCCAGCCTTCATTTCTACCCCTTTCCAGCAGCCAAGGCCAATACCAACGCAATCGGACTGGTTTACACCCACTCCACATCCATGTCCAGCTGTAACAGCTACTCCAGTGCCAGAGCCAGTCTTCAGCTCAACCCCCTTTCAGTGGCCAAGGCCAACACCAACACAATCAGGCTGGTTTACACCTGCTCCACATCCATACCAGATACTGGTGCAATTCTTAACTCGGGTACATGAGATCCTACAAGACCTAATGGGAAAAAAGACTTAGTAGCAGGATGAACAGGATCCTGTGCAGGCTGCAGCGGACCACAACCACTTCCTTGGGGCGGTGCCTGTTGACCCAAAGGCAGCCTCAGGGTCAAAGGCCTGCTGTGTCCTGCCTGTGTTCCTCCTCTGCGTGCATGCAAATGCTGAAGTTGACTTAGTTGTGGAAATAAAGTTTCCTATTGTCACCATTAACCATGTTTTCAGTCCAACTCAGTCTCCTGTGCAAGGCAAGGAGTCCCATGCCCTGCACCTGCAAAATGAGGCAGTGGCAGGAGAAGGGAACACAAGTCATAGGGGGCTACAGCTCTTGAGGACAGCAGTTTAGAACACTGTTTTATGCTGCCTGTCAGTGGGATCTGTGTGTGTATGACTTGAAACTGGACTCTTTCATGACTCAGGAAACACGGTTCTAGAAAGACCCAAGGTTAGCACCAAGGACTGGGTAAGAAACTTGACATCCAGCAGGGAGATGACTTGGCATCGAAGAGAGAATCAGTCTGTGGGAAAAATGGGAAACCAACAGCACCTTCCCTTCCCGTAGCTCGCTGTGCTCACTGCCCCCACCTCAGCTCCCACATGCCTGCCTCCCTGCAGCACAGTCCCATACCCAAGGCAACCAGCCCAGCAGTTCCCCTGCCCCTGCCCTCAGATACCATGCATGCCTCCCCCATGCAAGGCAGGGGGTAGCTCAGAGGCCAGGAGGGGACTGTGGCAGTGGGTAGGGACCATCAGCAGGCAGAAACAGCAGCAATGCAGTGACACCTGCCCTGCCTGTGCTCCTGCTGATCTGCAGAGGTTCAGGGCCAGGCACTCCCTGAACTATGTATGGGACCCCGGGGTGCAGTGCTGTGGGCTGGCCACGCTCCCTGCACCCTTTAGCATTGCACACAGGGACTGTAATGGGACCAGAAAGCTGATTTGGGGCCAGAAGATGGAGACCAGGTCTTCTGTTCCAGGGGCTTGAAAGCAGGCTTATGCGGCTGATTTTGGGGCTCAGAAACATCTCAAGCCATGCATTTTCTAAACCTGGCACAGGAGACTGAGTTATGTGCTTTCTCACTTAGGAACAGAGGTGAAGTGCTGCACTTTTGGGCACTCAGGCTCAACAGTTGGGTTTTTGGGCTCAGAAATGGGCTCTAAGTGAGCTCGTTTGGGGGCCAATTGCAGAAACCAGTTTGGCTGTTTGTGCAGCGTGGTGCGAAGCTCTTGAGGGCAGCGGCAGAAAGCAGGTGATAGGCACAATCCATGGACCCTCCCTGGAGGTGGGCGTCTGATCATGTTGCACCCTGAAGTTTGTGTGCCTGGTACCCACCAGGTTGAACTCAGTATCTCGGGTGGTCTCTGGAGGGAAAGGTGCTTCTCAGACCCCACACATCCCCTTTAAGTCCAGCTCTTCTTTGTATGCTGCTTAAAATAGTTAAGTAATTAATCATGCAAACTAATTAATATTTATAGAACATATAGTGTCATTTAATAGTAATACTGAAGTTAGAACAGCGTTTGATTTACAGTCTTTGTCAAAAGCCCAGACTGTTGTAAATAGCTGGTATTCAAGGGATGGGAATAAAAGACTGAACATCACCCCTGGAGCCTGCGCAGGGCAGGCTGCTGCCCATCGGCCCCAGATCCCAGGTGGGTGTGGAGGTGCTGGAGGTGTTGAGGGAATGCCGGTTGTATCTCCCGAACTTTGGCAACCTGGTCACTAAAACCACTAATTGACCTCTTTCAACAGGGAAACATTTAAGCAAAAGGTGCCAAAAAGAATTGGAGTTTCTGGACAGTAAAACCTGCAAGAATTCCACTGAAAATCCCCCCTGGATCGTCACTGGTCAGACTTCCACACACTGGTCACCTTGGCCAGGACTTTCTAATCCTGCTGGCAATATGTTTGACCACGATGTAATTTCCATTTTATGCTGGCAAAGTTGCTCTGGGTGGCCCCCAGAGGAGCTGCAGCGTTTCCCTCTCTGGAATAATAAATAAAAAAAAAATAAATAAAATAAGAAATAAAATAAATTAAAATGTTAAAAATAAAGTAAATAAAAAATAAAGTAAAAAATAAAAAAAAAATAAAATAAGAAAAAAATCCCAGAAATATAAAGAAAAATAGAAACAAAATTAAAATTAAAAAAGAAAATTAAACCCAAGGAAGCTAAAAAGGAAATAAAATTGAAATAAAAGAGAAAAAACTCTTTGTGGAGATGCCCTTTACTCCCTTCCCCCCACAAACCCTAAATTGGGGGTCACCCCTAAAATGGGAGGGGGCACCCCAAAAATTGGACGGGAGACCCCAAAAATGGGGGGGAAGAAATCCAAGGACAAAAAAAAAAATTGGAGGAAGAGTCGCAGAATGTCAGGGAGGGGCCCCAAAAATAGGTGAGGACCCACAAAAGTGGATGAGGACTCTCAGAAGTAGGAGGGAGGACCCCCAAAAGAGTGTGGTGACCCCCAAGAGTGGGAGAGGGGACCCCAAAACATGAGTGGGGACCTCCAAAAATGTCAGGGAGGGGACCTAAAATGTCAGGGAAACCCCACAGAAAAGTGAGTAGGGACCCTCAAAATGGGGAGGGTGGGGTGGCGGGCCCTGGAAAAACCCCAATAACGCCCCTTAACCTAATTTTGTGGAGTCCAGCGGGTCTCACCCCTTCCTTTTTGCCCCTCCCCCACTGGGTTTGGGAGGCATGGCCACCTCACACAGCCTTTAAGGAAAATAATAAAAAAATCAAAGAAAATACTAAAAAAATAAAATAAAAATAAAATAAACACAACAAAAATAAAAATAGAAATTAAAAAGATAAATAATGTAAGAATGAAAAACATATAAAATGAAAAATAAATTAAAAATTAAAATTAAAAACGGGCAGTAATCGCTGCTCCTGCTGCCTGGTGGTGAAGGCGAGGTGCTGCGTGTATGCGATGACTCACGGGTGATACATGCTGAAGAGTAGTACTGAAAGGAATAAGGGCACACAGGTGCAATTGCTCAACTGAAGCAGAGTGTCACGTGCTAAGTAAAAAACAAGAGGACGCATGCACAGTAGTGGAAAACAACCCGCAAGATTACATACTAAGAAAGGGCAACGTGGCGATGAGTTGCGCATGTGCAGTCAATTCCCTGGGCCCGGCGACCGAACGGCACATGCCTAGTGACTTTAATGACTCTGCCTTCTGCTGATCAAAAGTCGGTACTGTAGCGAAGGGACTGGAGTTGTTGCTGTTCTGAGCCATTTCCAACGTGAGATTAGAGAAGGAGGACCATGTCCAGGGATGCTGAAGAGGGGAATCTGCTGAGATGGGTGGGAATAAACACAGAGCTGCAGAGATTTGGGTGCTTCTGGGGACGCGTCATTTTCCTACCAAGCATCTTGACATTCCCCCTCTGGAGGTCGTTCTGGTTCTGGGTGGACTGGAGGGGGGAGCAGAATCCACGGGGATGGAGTAAAACATCCCCAGGGCCATCCCCCGGCTGTGGTGCTGAGTATCCAGAGGGCTGCACTGGGGATGGAGTGAGGAGAGGAGCATTGTGCTCCCTCCATCACTCTGGGTGCTTTCCCACAGCCCAGAGCCTCCCGGCTCACATGGGGCTCACACAGTTTCGTTTAAAAAGGGAAACAATGAAGTGGTGTGGAATTTT